AATGTGGATAAGCATTTGGAAGAGAGCATGTACAGGCTCGTCCCAGACAAGCAAGGAGGGGTGTTGTCCGTACAAGCGACCGAGCTCAGCTGCGGAAGCGTTATCGTGTCGTGTCGTGTGGACCACCGCGTGGCCGATGCTTACTCCACCAACATGTTCCTCGTGTCCTGGGCCGAGTCCGCTCGTTCCGCCCCTCCCTCTGTCTTCCCTTCCTTCAGACGATCTCTTCTCAGCCCTAGATTTCCTCTGAAACTCGACCCCTCCCTGGAGGAGCTCTACTTTCCCCTGTCTTCTGTTTCGCCCCTAAACCAACCTCCTAAATCCGACAGCGACGACAAGATCGTCAGCCGTTTGTTCTACGTCAAAGCCCAGAAGGTCGAAGAGATTCAGAGACTCGCCAGCTCGGAGAAATCGGGCAGAGTCACGAAGCTCGAAGCCATGAGCGCTGTCTTGTGGAAACTAGCGGCGAAGACAGAGCAAATGTCGGGAAGGAGGAAAAGGACGATGCTTGGGGTCGTCGTCGACGGGAGGACAAGACTCGCCGGAGATGACGAATTGGGCTCTTACGTGGGAAACGTTTTGGCGTTTCCGTTTAGGGGACGAGACACGGACGAGCTCGTGAAGAGGCCGTTGGAGTGGGTGGCGCGTGAGGTTCACGCGGTGGTGAAAGCAGGAGCGGAAGAGGAGCATTTCATGGGCCTGATAGATTGGATTGAGGCCCATAAGCCCAAGCCCATGACGCCTGGGTTGTATTGGGTCGACGATGGGCCCATCGTGGTGGTGTCGTCGGGGAGGCGTTTTCCGGTGGAGGAGGTGGATTTCGGGTGGGGACCACCGGTCCTGGGTTCGTACTACTATCGCGATTGGGGAAGCGAGATGGAATACGTGATGCCGATGCCCAGCGCCACCGTGGAGGGCGACTGGGTGATTTACACGCTCCTCCGGAAGCGCGTGGTGGATCTCATCGTTGAAGCGGCCGGCGACGTGTTCCAGCCTATGTCCTCCAAATATCTGGCACGTTGTGGATCTGTCTGTTAAGGTCCTTTCACACAGTTTCTGCGTGCATATGATACATTCAATATGTGCGAAGGAATATTCTATATTATAATATAAAAAGCAAACATTTAAAAGGATAAATATTTTGGACAAAATGAATGGATCAAATACAAACAGTTCTGTCCTGCTGTCCCTATAGGCTATCAAAAACAGCCAAGAATAGTTTATCAAGAGGACAAAGGTTAATGAATCACCAGCAGAACTTGGTACCTAATTCCATATTTGCCATATCTACGTCTAACGTATGTACACATATCTGTATGTATTTGCATATATATATATATTTACCTCTTCAACCTAAATTAGACGCCTTTGCGTTTCTGCTCCTGCTCCTGAACCCCACCTATCAATGAATTCTATTCTCCCTAAGAGATTGAAGTTAGCATTATGTCCAAAACCTACCTCATAAAGAACTACGGACAGATGGATTGAGTTCCTCAAGAAGACCCCTCGAGATTTGTGTATATATACGCATGTATGGTGTATGTATATAAAACTTGATCAATCAGAAGTGGAGGGGGCATCTTCGGATCTCTGCTGCATCATCTCCATGACAGCAGCTCTGCGTCTCGAATCTGACTGCTGTTGCTGCCTACTATATAGCGCCCTCAAATCTCTGTTGGAGAAACAAAGAACTTACAACATGTTAAAGACCATGGGTGATTAGTGATTACTGTTATTGTCATCTTGTTCTATTAAAGATACCAATCTCTATCTACATCCATGACCATCAAAACCAAAAAAAAAAAAAAAAAAAAAAAAAAAAAAAAATCTCAAGCACACCTTCTAAGAGATATGTCCTTAGATTCAAAACGATGACAATCTGTCAAGAAATTATATGGAGGAGGTGAACACAGTTAAAAGATTATATACCCGCATCTGGGCACTCTGCATTGGGATTCTCTGCAGCTGCGAGCATGAAGTCTGAGAAGTCCCCATATTAGCTTACAAAGGGAACATCCTCCAGAAGAACGTTTTTGGCAAATTCTGCCGTGCCTGAAGAGTATTTTCACCTGGCGGCACTCAGGATATCCACACTGAGGAGTGCGGCAACCAGACGCGTGTAGCAGCAGTTCCCTTAACTGCAGTATCACCGAGCCAGATTTTATTAAAGAACACAGAAAACAGAAGAGAGACAGACCAGAGAACAAAGGGATCCACAAACTAATCCCAATGACCCTTTGATTTTGACCATATATATATAATGTGAATTAACCCATAAACATTGCACCACTATGGTTACATAATAAACCAAAAGGGATTTCTGCCATATAAGCAAACAGAGCGAACCGCCCAGGCTGGATATTTTCAGTTTGTTTTAATGGATAACCCCAAAATGTGGATAAGCATTTGATGAATATTAGAATTGTTTAGCTAAGAACAAACAATCCCTAATTATTGCCAAATGGATTTGAAATCCTTAAATCACGCCTCCATCTTTAATATCCAATTGCTGAACCCTTTGATTAGCTTTTGTGTTCTGCACACCAGTGTCCACAACAGTTGGACGGTTGATTAACTTATGAGGATGGTCGACACCCTTTGAGAAGCAAGCATTGCAAACCTCATAATCAGAACAAACATTGCAACGCCAACCTTGACCAATTTCGATATCTTGCTGGCAGACAGTGCATGCTGTCGCAAATGCAGGGGCAGTTGGGTTGTGAAGATGATAGAGAACCATCATTGAAGAATGTTTTGCCCGCCTAAGTGTGTCATACTGATAGTGATTTCCTTGGCAAAGACTCAGGAAAGCTTGTCTAGTATCAAAGAACTCGCTCTCAAGGATGTCATCTTCTTCCTTAATCTCAGTAGGAACATCCGTGATGGCCACCTACATAGATCAAACCTGGTCATTTTCCTAGTCACTATGAAATATGGTGAGTTTTAAAAAGCTCACAGCAATAATGAAACTGAAATTTACAAAACATTCTAACTTACTGGATATAAAGCATGCTTCTCTTTCTGATTAACAGGATGTTTCTCTTTTTCTGCACGGTTCTGTTCCAATTCAAAACACCTGTGGCCAAAACAAAAACCATAAGATGCAGCCAGTTCATTAACCTAGAATGACCATAAGCATAATTTCCTCTGCCTCACAGAACAAATATGGAAGAGACTGTTGTAACTAACTTACATAGATATGATCTGCATGTGAACTGAAAAGTAAGTTAAACATTGTTCCATTCCCATTTCTAAACATTTTCTTAATTAGAAAACCTATGCAGGTTTACACAGAACCTTGATTACATAATCTTGCGATGTTGTCTCCATCAAATATTAAATAATCTTGTGATTTAACTGAATGGCTGAAGTATGAAGTACAACGAAATAGAAGGAAATCGGAACATGCATAGCATTAAGATAGCAAGGACACGGAGTAGATTTCATACTTGTCACATAACTGGAAGTTCTTGCACTGGTTGCACACCCACCGGTTTCCGGATACCATGAGAAGGCAACAATGCTTGCAGCAATGTTGCAGATGAACCATGATAAAATCTTCTTTTATGGGACCAATGATCTCACCCAGCTACAGAAATAGAAAATTGAGTGATTAAGTTTAAACACACTACCCGTTTTGGTGGGATTTATCTATTTAAACCATAAAAGGCCAACCCAAAAAGATAGAGAAGATCAGGTGAAAGCAAAATACATAGTTGATAGAGAAGATCACCAGTGAAATTATTGGAAAGGAACAACAGGAGGGACAAAATAGGATAGAAAATTACTTTATGCATCAGTAGCAGATCCTTTGAGGCATTAACAGAAAGGTCTAACTGACCAGCTGCTTTTAGAGCACGTTTCGATATGATCTTTTTGGTTACTCCCCTTCTATTTAACTTTTTGTCATCCTCTTCTTGGCCCATTTGATGTATTAAATCTTCAGCAGCACCAGGCCAATAGTCCCCATCAAAATATGGCAACCTCGCTGCTGTGACCTTAGCTCTACATTCTCCAGATTGCACAAAGAAATGGTCATAAAGGTTCGTACGTTCGACGACCACCTTTTCCTTGGAAGCTTTCTTGAGCATTGCTAAATACCTGAAAAGCAAGGAATGTTATGCATGAAACAGTCAAATTCTGAAAATGAAAACAAGAAAAACAAGAAAAGCAATTTCATACCATTCCCTTAGTTTGTCAGTCTTCGGCGTCTTCTGAATTTCTGGATGACAATATAGAATATAATCTTCACCCTTAAGCGGAGGGCATGCCCATATATAGCAGCTTGTAAAACCACGTTTCTTACAGTATTCAAGGTAGCCAATCTAGAAATCATACAAGTTTATGTTAATAAGAATGTTGTACTTGAGAAGCAACACAGCAATTCAGAGCACTCTCAATTGGCAGAAAAGTAACTTACGAGAATCTCATGGTACACAAACGTACGGAGGGCCTCTCCAGACACTGTTTTAGCCTCAGGTCTGAAGTACTTAACAGAATCCAAATACGAGAGGTACACTCGACGCTGATTGGGAAATGCAGATTCTGTTCCAAATTCTTGGACATACATGCCAAATAAGCATACTTCTACTCCTTCAATCTTTTGAAACAACAAAATAGCCTGATACAGAAACCAAATAACTTAGTCAAAGGACAACCTATTTATAGAATACAAAAGGACTATAACAGGCATTGACTATCTGTACCTTGGACTTATAAGGAAATTCTGATGAATAATTCTCTTCTCGAAAAAGATCCAGGAACTGTGGCATGACTTCTAACACTTTGTCAACCGATGATACAACTCTGACAACAAGTGATTCGGCTCCGGGGACCTGGAATATCAATACAGATGGAAAATTAGAATGTTGTCACATTAGTATCTGTACAAACCCCGCTCCAAGTGTCTAGAGAGACATCGTTACAATAGCAAAATAAGGAAGAAGGTTTCAACTAAATAAGCCTTTCCAAGGCAAAGCGATGGAGTTAAGAGTTTAGGAAAAGATAGAGCGGGTAGAACTTCATTGAAACTGAAGAAAAGAAACAACAAGAGTATCTGTACTAATCTTTCTCAATCAATCATCATCTCCCTAATTATTGCCAAATGGATTTGAAATCCTTAAATCACGCCTCCATCTTTAATATCCAATCTTAACTTTTGTCTCTATTAGAAGCGCTAAACTGCTAAAGCATATTTGCCTTTACCAACCACAATTCTCTATAATGCACAACATGATACATCTCTTGATGAATCAAGAAAAAGTTAACAAATACCTCTTCATAGCTTTTCTCTTGAAGTCTAGCTCTCTCCTGTCTTTCCTGCTTCAATTTCCTGAATAACCGCTTCTCTATATGGTTGCTAAGAAAAGTGGTTGGTAAATCTTTTGCCCCAAGAACAACAGATTGTGGTAACGGTTTTCTCTCACCCTGTTCCACCTCTTTTATATAACAATTAGGGCATGTGTACTCAGTGTTACCATGATTTCTTCTGCCATTAAACAGAGCACAAATTTGATGCTGCCACGCTTCACACTTATCACATTGCACCCACTGCATAAAGTCATTGGCTCAGAAGAGAAGATAAAAACGATAAGATCCAAACAAAACCAAATTAATCAAGAGGCATACCCCCTCTTCAACCTCTTCGGTAATTTTATTTTTCTCAAATTTCGCCTTTGGTATAGGAGTTCCATCAACAGCAATAGTGGTCCCACGAACTTCGTTGTAGCAAGCGGTGCAGACAAAATTCCGTGACTCACCAGCCACTAAAGTGTAGCGCGTGGAATTTCTCTTGATGCGAGCACCACATGGCGTGCAGTAAATAGGTGTTGGCTCAAAGGCAAGCTTCTCAACAGCACATAACTGGCAAGAACTCTCAGTCATGGTGCGCCCGATTGCTTTATTTTTTTCTGCCTTGGTTTTGCCCTGAAAGAAATTACAAAAGAAGAAAAACTAGCATCATTCGCTGGTAAGACATGTGTCGTCCAAGTCTCTTCAGGATGAAAAAGTATGCAAAACTAGATATGAAGATACCAATAGCACCAAACAAAGACATGCAAAGATGGAGAGAAGCTGTAATTGCCAGGACAAATTAAAATCTTAATTGGTCAGCAAAGAAATTTCATCATTCGTACCAAACAAGATCTGAACCTGAAAATTTCACACTTTACCTGACCAACCCACTGACGAAGACCAAGAATATGCTCCTTTACTTGCTCTGGAGTGAACAGTTCAATTAATGAGACTACTTTGATCTTAGACTTCCCACTCTTAGACCCAGCGCCACTGGCCATACATCGCTCCACAATCTCTTCTTTTAGTGCACCCATTTCATTCGTACATTCAAAGCTCTCTTGCTTTGATAAACAAACAATCTCATGGGACAAAGCAGCTTTCCCATCACATTCTTCCAAGGGAGTATCCTCACGCTTCTCCTGCTCATGGATAAATAGATCAACTTTCACAGAATCATCGGCAACAACTATATCCATAGGCCTGGCATCAGATCTGATAGTTTTGCATATATCATTCTGCTGATAATCTTTCCCTTGCCAATCCATTGAAGAATGAGCTTCAGTGATAACAGCCGAAACTGACACCAGAGTGCTCTCTGATTCAAGAGAGGCCAATTGGGGGGGTTGCTCGACTTTCAGACGCTTCACAGAAGGTTGCTGATCATCAGCACCAGATGGAGCTTCAGAACCTCTTTCACAAGAAGCCTGCAGGGACTTGTAGGAGGTGTAACCACAGGTTGAGTTAGGCAAGTAAGATTCGGATTTCTGGAGGGCAAATTCTGATTTTCGTTTCTCCTTGTAGCTCTTAACAAAGACACAAACAGGGCATCCTTCGGACCTGCAGTTCTTGTGATGATGAATCAATTCCCGGGTCTGAAGGCAATACCGATAATTACAAGCTGGAACCTTGCAACAATCCACATGTTTCAGTAGCTTTTTAACATCAGAACAATACTTGCTTTTACACTTATCTTCTGGAGCATGGCATGCACGTGCATGCCACAGGAACAGAAGCCACCGCCTTTGATTTGCATAATTTGGACTATGATCTTTAGTCACTGATTTACTTGAGGTGCCATTTGCTTTCAAAAGATGTGAGGTAGCAACAGCGTTTTTGGCGGCATTATTTTGACAGTCCATAGGTGCTTCTGCAGATGAACCATCACAAAGAGCTCCATGCTGCCTCGGAATTCTTTGACACGAATTTGTCCCGACATATGCCCGCTCCCTTTTGGAGTTTTCTGATATTCGAGTCAAGCCCTGTGATGATGGTTGAACTCCAACAGAGAGGTTATTCAAGTCTTGTGAATGCACTTTCCGTTGCATTTGACCGAAATGTGGTTGTAGAGATGGAGAAGTATTCAACTGGCTGGTATAAACAGATGAACACTGAGCACCAATACACTGGCCTTCGACAGTGTTCACCTGGTACTGATTTTGCAACTTGGAAGGTTGGCGTTCATCCATAGCCACCAACTGAATAGCCTTATTGTGGCACTCCAGGCCAGGTCCTTGCTCAACTTGAGTAACTGAACCCGAAACCAGCTGATATTGAAGATACACATCCTTGTTTAGTAAGTCTTGTTTCAGCATGTATTGACCATGATGAGGCTGCTGAGGACATTGCCCTTGCAGCTCAAACCGACGAGCTTGATGCTGTGATTGTTGTCCAACTGGTTGTTGATGCACCAGAGCCAAATTTCCTTCGGAAGCAAAGGAAGACTGGAAACTCATATTCTCAAATTGACCAAGTGATTCAGATTTTAACAGTGGAACCTGTTGGAATGTTTGAGGATTTAACCGACTACTCGGGAAGGAAGCATCAACTCTTGGTGTAGGATCTGGGCTCAATGAACTCATATCCCGAATGTCCGCCATTGGCTCAGATGATGTTACAACACCATAGAAATTCTCAGACCCGACAGGATCAGAATTGTTCATCGCATATCCTTCACAGGAAAAAAAAAAGTAACTGGAAATAAGCATATATAATAAGATTGCATAAAATTACAAGCTGATCAAAAGGATAATACAAGGGAGAAACATATCCACAGAGCATGATAAGTGAAAAGGGAGAGAGAGAGAGGGTAGAAGTTTTAAAGAGAGAGATTATACTGTGCATCATTGAGGCCTGCAGCTCATCAACAGGTTGATGTAAAGGTTTGGCCAACTTTGGCAAATGCATGGAACTAAGGAATCCTTCAGAAGTTCTGGGTTCAATCGAAAGTTGTGCATTGTTCCTGTGTATCCCTAAACCCGTATTTAGAGGACTGTTGGTCATCCCAGAGGATCGCCCATATAGTATTGTGCTAAAACCACTGTCTGCCTTGTGACACAGGTTCAAAGGCATACAGACATTTGAACCAGCAGGATACTGATTCTGCAGCTGTAATGGAGCTCCCACACCAGACTCAGCTGAACGCTTACTACCATCAGCACAAGTTTCTTCATTTGTATGATTCTGGAGATGACTCTTAGCACAATTGGTATTAAATCCAGGAGTTGGAATCATTTGGCCAATCATTCTCTCTGGCGGTGGCATGCTTCCACTAGAGTCGAGAGGATATCCATCAGTTAATTGTTGGCATCCATCAAACAAGGGACCTGTCAAAGTATTTTGTATATATTAAAAAGGAATTAAGAGCGACCATTATTAGGTTAAAAATTACCATTTGATCTATGGAAATTACCTTCTTGTGTGCGACTAGTAGGCAATATGCTTCTGCTTTTGATAGTTGCCCCCTGTAAGTTATTATAGCTATAGGCAGGGCTCATGGAAGCATCCGCTGCAGAGGTGGTTATAAAACTTTGACTTCCCCCATGTGAAACACCAGTTGTCTGAACCATCATATCAACAGATCTCAAAGAATTAGCACGGCGCTGGCTGCAATGCTGTCTGAGAATATAGTCCAACCGGCCTTTTAAAGTTCTGTAATCCAAGTATTCCTCCTACAATCAAATTTTTACCAAGAAGAATGACTACAGGTTAGGGGATCAACACTTCTACAGATCATAGCCTTTCAGAAATCCACTGTGTTATTTATGCCTACCCTAGAAATATTTTTAAAAAAAATGAAATGACGAGAAGTTATAATTGGAGAGACCTTTGTCTTAGCCATCCTCAACAGTCCATTCTCAAACCGTTTTGCATATTCAAATAACTTTGCCTTTGAGGCAGCATCAGTCGTTGGCTGCCGCTGTTGTAACAAAACATATCTGGAAGAATTGACAAACCTGGTTAAACAATCAACAAGTAAAAGTGCCTTCTGTTCCCTAACTTTACAACAGATAAAATAACAAGTCTATGTGCAATGTTCAGCAATGTAGTTCCACCAGGATTTCCCCTCAAAACAAAATCATGCCATACGCTCAAAACTAACGCCCTAGATATTAGGAATCCCAAGATGTTGCTCAATGAAAAGTTCTGAATTGTATACAAAAAGAATAGGATTAAAGGAATCTGAGCCATTCACAGAGGCCCCAGGATAAAATCATTCCCTTGGTATAGTATGAGAATAATCAATGAACTGCTCTGTGAAAAGAAATAGTTCATAGCAGAGGCAAAACTTTTGAAGAACAGGCAAATATCGAATGCAGCCCATCCCAACAGAAAACAAAAAGCCATGGTTGCGTTGACGTCAAACGCTGGACTAGGACAGAGACCAGTATAAGAGTTATGGAATAACCCCAAATCGCAAGGAATATATCCGGAAAACAAGAGCATCGTACGTAAAAAGCAACAGAAAGAACTTTCTTACATCCTGTTCTGCATCACTTGCCGTAATCCAATACCCTCATGCGCAATGCCATTGGTTATATTACCGATACCAGAACCCGCAACTGAGTTCTGCATCTGGACAGGCTGAACAACCTTCATGTTCTGCCCCTGAGCCATCGTCGCTTAATTACCAGCTACTGTCCCAACATGCGACAATGCTGGTCACTGCCGCTTCTTCTTCTTCTCCTTATCCTTATCCTTCTTCTTCAAGCAATGCAGAGCACAATGTCTGAGCTACTATCCCTAGCAAACACACCTTGTATCGACCAACGCTATGCACTCAACCACCTGTGAAGGCATAACGTACGACGCGGGAATTATGCGAAGTCAAAAAGGTCAAACGCACACAATTAACGGAAATAGCACAGAATTCACGATTCCGGCATATTCATTCAAACAACATAAGCAGGAATCCACACGCAAAACCCTAGTTTACGAACGAGAGATCAAGGCCGAGTCAACCAGAGGAGGAACCAATTCAAACTCTAGACGTAGAAAAGGGGGTTGATAAAAACCCTAAACCTGGAATGTGGAGGGAAAAACAGAAATTCAATTCGGAAAGGAAATTCGAGATGACACGACGACGATGATGATCGGAGCCGGCAAAAAACCCTGAGTGAAGGAAAACGGGAAAAGACAAACGAGGACGTCCAAGAACGAGGGTCGGTGATTGATTCCGCACGTGTGACAATGAGGGGGCCAGGTGAAACAAAAAGCTGATATTCTTTATTTCATTGGACCGGTCGAAGGATCCCAGTATATAAAAGGAAAATAATTTGACCAAATAACACATCATTTTTTATTCTTGGAATTGGAAGAGCTGCCGTCTTTTCGCCTCCTCAACGGGACACAGTTTTACATCCAAAACAGAAAACGGTACCAAGTTCCCCACAACCCCCCCCCCCAAAAAAAAAAAAACAACAATCCGATACTTTGAAAAGAAACACGACTTTCATCTCTCCTTCGATCATATTTTATTCGTCGACACACATCATCATCATCATCATAATCATAATAATAATAGTAATAGTAATAATAATAATAATAATAATAATAAATACGCATTTGAGTGTCACGTGGTGCATGCAATCACTGCAATGGCCTTGTTGCGCTCATATGCGATGACACATGGGAGTTTGACAATTTTGAAAAATATAATCTTGCATCGTTAGTGTTATTATTCGTGCCAATATAGTCCGTGAGTATTATCCTATGAGATTATATAGAACCACCACTTGTTTTTTTTTTTTTTGATAACGAGAACCACCACTTGTTAATAACACACACATTTATATATATATATATATATATATATATATATATATGTATGTATGTGTGTG